GGCACATGAGGACCACAGTAAAAGCTATAAGATTAGAGCCGATATGCCAGCATCATTAACTTCAAGGTTGGATAGAGTCATCTTATCATCGGCAAAATAGAGCTGTAAATGGAGAGAGGAAATTATTGATGGTAGGGAGAAGTTATAAATGGCCCTGGAGATGACATATCTGATATCTGACAGACCTGATATATTAGCTATAATGTTCCCAACTGAATATAAGTAACTCTTACAGAATACGAGCAATAATTCGACAAGGCCACTCCATGACTGAGATGGGACAAGACAGAAAAAAGGCCACTCTGTGAGTTGTCTGAAATAAGACAGGAACCAGGACTCTTAGCAACCAAAAAAAAAAAGAGCTACGCCTTCCCCTCTTCCAACAAAAATGAGTAAATTCTCCTCTACCTACTTCAGTTTTCTCACCTCTTAGGTATAAATTACCAAAATATCCAATCACTGAATTCCTGAAAACACTCAAAACAAAACTGACCTTCACCTAAATCTTTCTTATTGGCCTTTCCGATCTCTTCTTGTCCAACACTCTGGTCTGCTGGTGTGTGGTCTTCTTTATTATGAAATAAGCCTGACTTTGCTTGACTACGTGCATACGTGCTCCCGGTGCTTATTGGCTGTTGGGCACTATGGAGTGAACGGTGCCAGGGACATCTATTATCTCACTGGAACTTTGCTTCTCTTGTTATTCACTTTTTATTGCAAAAAAAAATTAATATGTGTCCATTATTTTTTGAATACAGTTGTTTTTAAGGCTAAAAAAAAGAGATTCTCTGATTTCCTTAGTCCTACTCATCAAGTTAATGTGTTCATATATTCCTTCTAGCTGGTGTTTTCTTCACATGGCTCACACACACACACACACACACATTTTCTTAATTAAAAATCAGTTCACACCCCACTTGTTTTTCTGCAAAATGCTTCACTCACTTAATAGTATGTAATTAACATTTTTCCTAAAACTATATATAGAGTTCTCTCATTATTAGGTGCTTCAGGGAAGTACAAACTATAGATTAACTCTGATTTGTTTTAGTGTTTCCCTACCTATTGCCCACATTTTGCTCAAAAAAACAAAAAACAAAAAACCAATATAGCACAGAACCCCTTGTGTTTAAAGTTAATTTTTTCCACCTCATTTTATCAAGGATTAAACTGAGGTTGAGGGAACTTACATCTCTTGCCCAAAATCAGATTACCTATTAAATGGCAGGTACAAGAGTCAAATCGAGATCTTTCCAAGTTCAAAGCCTATCTGCTTTTCATTGCAGATAATATAAAATAAAGTTTCAAAGTGGATTTGAATACAGTATAATTGGATACAATACAATTTGGGCAACTTAAAACACGAATATTATTCACGAAACTAGAAGTCATTTCCAGAACTTCCACTTTTGCCCAAGATAGAGAACTAGAGATTGGATTTACCCTCCTACCTAAAAAAAGAAAAGCTGGACAAAATATATGAAATACTAGTTTGCAAGATGTACATTAGGCAATAAAGACAGTGGCTCCTGAGAGGCAAGAAACAAACAAGGACTAAAATTGCCCCAGCTTTCTGTCTTAAGAAAGCTTCTAGACCACAACAATGCGAAGAGTGAGTACTCAGGAAATGTTTCGTGGACCTCCTAGAGGAAATGGAGATGAAAATTTGGAAAGAGCAAGGCAACTGAAGTTTGCAGGACAGAATACTGAAGACAGGGAGTTGTGTAGAGAAAGAACCCCAAGATCTGCAGAGGATCCTCCTCAGTTATTTGGCTCTGAGCAGCACCCACACGAGGAAGCAATTTGAGGGAGAGAAGGAAATACTGAAAAGACTATAAACAGTGCTTGATACTCACACGAGGCTGGGAATGGTGCCTGTTCTAACCAGCCTGACTAGAAAACTAGAAAGCAAGATTCATGGTGCATTGAGTAGAGTACACAGGAAGGACTTGCCTCCGTGGTAGAAATGATCAGCCTGTGCTGAGCTCTGCTCCAGTTACAACTAGCATATCTACAAAGCAAGACTCAAAGGGATCAGACAATTTCCAAGTAACTTAATTGTTCACGAGAACAAAGCTCAAGAATATTTACAAGTTTACGAAAATACCTAGCAGCAAATACAGTAAAATTCACAATGCCCGGCATCTGATCTGAAATAACAACACATGCAAAAAGCAGGAAAGCATGACAATGAAAAAAAAAAAAAACCAATGGTCAAAACAGACGAAAACTGTCAACAAAAAGCAGAATTAGCACTCAAGGACATTAAAACAATTATTATAGCTATGCTGCATATGTTCAAAAAGATAAACAGCGATGGGAAAGACAAACTAAAGACTATGGTATCTGATGGTTTAAAAAAAAAAATGGATGGGATTAACTACAGATTAGACATTCCAAGAAAAGTGATTAGTAATCTTGAAGACATAACAATAGAAACTATCCAAAATAAAAGAAAAGGGAATCAAAAAGATAAATGAACAACACATCAGTGAGCTGTGAAACAACTTCAAGAAGGTTTCTAGATGCCTAATTTAAAGGACAGGAGAAACAGTGTTGATGTAAAAAATTTTTTTCGAAAAATAATGCTGAAAATTTTGCAAATTTGGCGAAACTATAAACCCACATATTCAAGAATCACAAGAAATCCCAGACAAAGCAAACATGTAAAACTACACCAAGCCATATCATAATCAAATTCCACAAAACCAGGAATAAAGGGGAAATCTTAAACGTATCCAAAGGGGGGAAAAATGACACATTATGAATAGCAGAACAAAAATAAGGATAAAAAAAGATTTCCTCTCGAAAACAATGCAAGTGAAACCACAGTGGACCACCGTCTTAAAGTGCTTAAAGGAAAAATGCTTTTATGATAGACTAAAGAATCTCATATCCATCCTTTCCTTCACACACACACATACACGTGAATCCTTCTGACTTTGCAGTGAACTTGAAAAGTGCCCATCCAATATTAAATCACTTTTCACCTTTTATTTAAGTTGTTCAAGTGACTTAATTTCAGAATTGTTAAAGACAGTATAAGACGGTTTAAACAAATCCAGTCATGCTGGTATATCGCCTTGCTCTGCTTCTCACTAGTTTCAAAACTGCTTGAAGGAAGAGACCAAATCTTACTCATTTACATTACAGACTCTCCTCAAGGAAGCATCTTGCATAAAGATTGACTTAGAGTGAAATTATCGCTCATTTTCTTGCTAAAAAGTTACTTGGCTGTGAGTCTCTATTTATCAAAGGATTTGAAAGAAACAGAGATGCTAAGACCAGATGACTTAGTTTGCATTATGCCCCATTTACCAAAGTCACATTCTGACTTTACCTTAATGATAAAGCATCAGTTATAAGGTATTTGATGTTAATGAAGACAAGACTTCTAAAGATATACCAAATCGTTGTATTGTTTTCTTATCTACAGGCAGCATCTTAAGCTGCCCACAGAAACCCTAAAGCTATCCCTAAGGCTGGTCAGAGACAGACAGGAGAAGCTATGAGTGTGGTCACATTCAAAAGCTTAACAGTTCCTACAACAGTGCATGAGGATTTAAATCATCATAAAAATAATCTGTAAAAGTGATTTTCCTGTTGAAAGACTCATTTAATAAGTGAACATAAGCTTCCTAGTTGAGGCAAATTATTCTGCAAAACTTCATCATAGATGATCATAAACTGAGGCAGCAGTACGTACTGGCACCATAATCCAGTGACTTATATAAGAATGAAACGTGAGGCCTGCACCTCCTTGATCCTTGTGGGTTTTAGGCAAATAGTGAGCATAAAAGGAAGAAGGGAAATTGGTAGGAAAAAAATGGGACCTTTGCGCTAAGGATTGTAAAGGGAGAAGTTGGAGTGAATCAAACATTGGGAGGGTCTCCTGCAAAATCATTTGATGGAAGAACCCTTGAATCACCCTTGCATCATTCTACAAACAAATGCCATGTATGCTCTTCCTTCATGCAAGAAAGTTTATCATAGGCCTGGAGAAGGAATTAAAACTATTATTACCTAACATTCGTATAGGCTTTCTAGGTGCCAGCATACAGAAAGTGCATTATCTCAGTGAACCTTGACAAAATAATCCCCGTTTTTAAATTATTAAAAACTTGTAATCCCGATTTTCACATTATATGACTCAGGGCAGTTAAATAATCTTATCAATCCACATATCTAAGTGGTGGAACCAAGGTTTTAATTAAATTTTACAGCCTGTACTCTTGACCAACACAATACACACTTTTTTTTAACTGAAGGAAAAATAATTTAACTGGAACATTTTAATCTGACTATGGGCTCCATTGTTTTAATTCTTAAATGCACATTTCTTTCATGGTTTAATATTTCTGATGTTAGGATTATTTTAAAATTCACGTGTACATTTAACAGAGCAATGAAGCTATAAAATTGATGATGAATTGTTCAATCTGTCTAAGATAAGATAGGAAATGCATTTTAACAGCTTAGAACCCATGTTCCCTATATAGTACAGTTTGGAAAATACCTGTTTAAAAAAAAAGCTGGCTAAGTGTTTTATAGAAGTAACTAGAGTGAGCAGATTACTAAAACACTAGAAAACATCATTTAAAGAGTATCGTCAGCTCTAAATAGAATACCACATTTGTATATTAATAATCAATTTTCTGTTCAGTCATTAACCCCAGTGCTTTAATGATTTCTACTGCGAAGCACGTTATTTGCCCTGTTCTAGTTGTGGTGGATATTATGTCTTTATTTCTTTAAAAAGTATCCAGTGATTCAGGCTGGCCATTTCATACAATCTACTTATTTTGGTGAATTCTTAGTCCTTGAAAACACGTATGACTGTCATTACTTACTAGCTTTAATATGAGTCAGCTTTCTCCCTCGCCTAAAGGAAGTGAACCTTGTAAACACTTTCTGGAATCCCAACTCATGTTTACCCAAAGAGTGGAAGTGAAATCCAGCTGTGATCCACTTAAGTTTCAGGAAGGCTTGGTCATGCCTACGCATCGCCTCGCCCCGACCATTCCGTCCCATCAGAGTACCGCCAGTGGCCTTGAGAGAGCCAGTGTGTTCCTATCTGTATTCCTCTGTCAGGGCCACTGTGACAGTGTATCACAAACTGGGTGGCTTAAACAACAGAAACTTCTTGCCTCACAATTCTGTAGGCTGGAAGTCCGAAATCAAGGGATTGGCAGGACTGGTTCATTCCGAGAGTTGCGAGAGAAGGGGCTGTTCCGGGCAGCCCTCCTTGGCTGGCAGATGGCTGTCTTCATCTTCACGTAGTGTTCTCTCTGCAGATGTGTCTGCCTCCAAATTTCCCCTTTTTATAAGGACACCAATCATATTGGATTAAGCCCTACCCTAGTGACATTTTAATTTGATTAATCTCTCTGTAAAGACCGTATCTCCAAATAAGGTCACATTCTCAGGTACAAGGGGTTGGGACTTGAACACATGACTATTGAGGGGAACACACTTTAACCTGTAACACTGTCTAAAATAGTAAAGGGCAGTCAACTCTTCAGGACACCAAAAATCTTTTTTTCATACAATTTTTAAAGGTTACTTTACATTTGCATTTATTTTGAAGTTTTGTCTCTATTCCCCATGGTGTAGAGTACATCCTTGAGTCTATCTTATACCCAATAGTGTGTGCCTCCCACTCCCCAACCCCTAACTGACCCTCCCCCCAACTAGTAACCACTGGTTTGTTTCCTGTATCTGTGCGTCTGCTTCTTTTTAGTAATATTCACTCATTTGTTGCATATTTTAGATTCTACATATAAATGATATCATACAGCATTGGTCTCTCTCTGTCTGATTGACTTTGTTAATCATAATGCCCTCTGAGTCCATCCATGCTGCTGCAAAGAAGAAAATTTCATTCTTTTTTGTGGCTGAGCAGTATAAGAACCTTACAAACATCTGGATCTAAAGCAAACCCAGATCAAGCCTATATTCTCTCCTCCTTTCTTGATAGATGAGTCTCTGCCTGGCAGCTGGACCTGTCATGGCATTCAGGAATTATTGGAATTGCATTTTCTCGTCACCAGGAAGCCTCTCACACCCTTCGGAAGAAAGTGAGCTCTGGTTAAAAAAACCAAAACTGGAGACTAAGAGAGAACTAAGCCCTGATGTGTTCTCAGGGGTATGACAAGCATACGGAAGATTATAAGAAGGTAAGAGATTATTATTATAAAAAGCTCAATTTCCAGTTTAATCACTACCTCCAATGGCACCAAACCTGAAATCTAAAATTCCACGATAATAACAAATAATAATGATAATCATAACAGCCATTTATCGAGCAGTTACTATGTGCCTGGAATAGGTTCTTTAGTGTGCATGATTTTACTTAATCTTCACTACCACTGGATGAGGTTGATTCAATTTGATATGTAAGTAAAGAGCCTTCCACAAACTCTGGCACAAGGTATGTGTTTAATAACCAAAAGTTAATGTACTTGCCCATTTTACAGATGAAAATACTGAGCTTCAGAGACACTTAGGATTACACTGATAGTGAGAGATGTTGCTTGTATTTGAATCTAGGTATGTTAGACTCCAAAGCCTGAGGTCTTATATACTAAACTATGCTGTAGCCCATTTCTGTCTCTATCCCAAAAGTTCAAGATTATATAAAACTCATGTCCTCTGTCCTCTCTGAGTCACTGAAGACTTTTACAGCTGCCCCTATTTAGCCCCCAGAGCTTGAGAATTACTGTTTTAAGATTAAACTAGGACTTCAGAAATGGGGTTTGTGACCTTCGTCTTTTTCCAGGGTTCCTTTCTCCTCCTGCACACAGACACCTAGGTGTTACAGAAACTCACTGTAAGCACCAGGAAGGGTCCCAGCTATCTTTCACGCACTCAGGTGGTCTGTGGCTCCTGCTTCCCAAGAGCTAGGTGGCTGGTGAAGGAGACCATCCCCTGACACAGAGAAACCGAAGTCACTATTTCAACTGCATTGCTTTCCTCTTTCCCAGCATCTAGCAGTCCTGGGGGACAGACCCCAGCTCTGTGCTTGTGCCATAGCTCAGTTACCCGGGCTCTTGAACCCAAAGTCAGCATGATCCTGGAGTCTTCAAAGTTAGTTTGTAGGAGTTTCTTCAGGTTAACAGAGCTGTCTCAGCAGAGCCTCTTCAGTCAGAAAGGCCAGCATATAATGTGGCCTTTCCCCCTGTCCCCAAGGCCCCCCTAAAACTCTCATCATCAGTACAGGAGACACTATGTCCTAGCGCAGCACAACTTGGGACACTTTTAAAGATGCATGCTCTTTACTGTGACCTCAGCTGGTGAATGTACCAGATAAGACCTTAAGATCTCCCAATAAATGAGTCAGCTGATTGAGGAAGGGCCCTCTACTTGGCTAGTTTCTACATCAAATGCTCTCCTTCAACTCACTTTAGAATTACCATTTCCTTTTCTCAATTTCTGCACCAGGGATATGTAGAGTGTCCAAAACTACACAGAGCACTTTTACAAAGTACACCATCTTATCTGACCTTCACAGCAACTCTATGAATCCACTTGTGTCACTGAAAAAAAATGATACTTAGGGGAATCAGATGGCTTTCCAAACCTCTCAGCCAGGGAATCTCAAGTAAAGATGGGCATTTAGAGGATTTTTGGTACAATTCTACTTTCTCTCCACTATAACCTATTGCATCTCTGATTCTCAACACTCCTCTTCAAGTCTAATGTCAATGATTATCTTACAGAAGTCTTACTTTAACCATCCAAGCTCAGTTTTCAATCTTACTTGACATTACCTAATCAATTTTTAGAAATTCATTTCTTCAGCAAATGTTTTTGGGATGGATGCTCCATGCAGATTCTGGGCTGAGTGAGGGCATAAAAATGAGCAAGACAGACATGACTTCTCCCTTCATGAAGTTCTCAGTCTAGCATTAGTGTCACAACCAGTCCAGAACTTAGCTGAAGATGTCAAAATCACTGTATCAAAGAGGCTATGGTTCAACCATACTCAAGACCAGGGATAAAGGGCCTTTTGCAAGGAAAGTAAAAGGAAGTCAGAGTTTAATTCCTGAAAGTGTTCACCAGGAAGAATTTGGGTACTAGGAGAAATGATTCAAGAGGCTAAAGGGAACCATCTTTAAAGAGGATGCCTAGCCTTCTGATTGCAAGAGTTAAGCAAGTGTGTGGAGATGAGTTCATTAGGAGAACATTCTTATCTTCCCTTTTTAACATGTGAAATTCTCAAACTGAATCAGACAGAGGAGGTCTGGAGTCTATGTTTTTATAACAACTTATTCGTAACAATGATGAGAACCAGAGTCTGTCTGACTAATGCAGCTAAACCACTGTCTACACTGGGGAATAGGCCCCAGGCTACTGGTGTCTGGAACCCTTGTCAACAGGCCTGTATCTTTAAATCTCACAGGGTGGTCATGGTCTCGTCTGTAACATGGGGATGTAATAACCTGTCATAAATGATTGCTGGAGAATTCTTTGAGAAAACGTAGTCCATTGCACTATGAAAACTCTTCTTATATAACCCTCCTAAAGGCCCTGTCTTAAGACGTTTCCTAAGCTCAAAGAGGGACCATTTTAGAGTAATAAGGACGTTTCTGCCATCTGCTTTGAAGAATAAAATTTGCCTTTGCAAGAGTCTGTTGTTTCTGGAAGGAGCTTTTTAATTAGCACATTTAGTTTTGCTGATGTTAGGTGAGCATTCACTCACTGTTTGTTTTTGAGAGGAAGACCTGAGTGGAATCACTTTAGATTATTGGCTCAAAAAGACAAACACTCCAAGGACTGAACTGGCTTCCATTGCAGTTTGATCCAGAGGCTCAAATAATAGTGTCTAGACTTAGTTTCTTTGCATCTCTCAGTTATGCCTCCTTCATGAGTGGTCCTCAGCCCCGAGCTGGTCTCCTTTCTGATGGTAAATGGCTGTAACAGCTCCAAGCCTCACAGGACCAAATCCAGTGGTGGAGACAAAGCCTTTTTTCCAGGCACCTCCCCCCTCCACAGAAAATACCTCCTCGGAGCTCACTGGCTCTGCTCGGATTGTGTGCCCCTCTCTGACACAGTGGCCGAGGGGAGGCATGATCAGCTCATGCCCCTGACTCTGGAGATGGAGCCAGTCATTCCCAAGCAGAAAGACTAATGTAAGACTTTCAGCCTTGACCGACAGACGTGGCCTCCTCTTCCCCACCTCTGGGCCTCTGTTCATACTCCCTTCCTCTTGGAATGTCCTTCCATCCCATCCCTGTTCCGCTCTCCACATTACCCTCTCCTCCTTTCAAATTCCATTTTAAATGCTGTCTCCCATCGGAAGTCTTTCCTAATCTCTCCGCTGGAACGAGACAAGCACCTCTGAATTCCCACAGCACCCTACCTCTGCTACGTCAGTGACGAGAAAGTATTCCGCTGAAAGAGATCACTGCTCAAACCCTGATTCCTCCATGACAGTCAGCCTCATTCTAGACCTTGCTGAGAAGTGGGCCTGGTTCATGCCTGCGTAAGTGACAGAACACTACGATAATGTCCAGTATCAACAAGGACTTTTCAGTCCCTTTCTGTACCTGTGGTAGGCAACCTCTGAGACCGTCTCCAGTGAGCCCTTCTTCCTGGTATGCATGCCCCCTGTTAATTTCCTCTCCGTGACTCCTTGAGCATAAGTAGGACATAGAGACTCCCATATAGTGAATAGAATATTGTAAGAGTGATGAGATGCTGCTTCCAAGATGAGAAAGATTAGAATTAGAAAATGACTCTGGCTTCCATTCTCAGTCTCTCAGTCTCTCTCTGTCTTTCTTCCACTCTCCCAATGAGGGCAGTCAGCTGCCGGGTTTTGCATTTCCCTATGCAAACATCTATGTGGCAAAAAACTGATGTCTCTGGCCAACAGCCATGTGAGTGAGCTTGGAAGAGGATCTTCCCCCAGTAGGGCCCTGAGATAAGACCATAGACCTGGCTAACGCCTAGATAGCAGCTGGGAAGAGGCCCTGAGCCAGAAGCACTCAGCTATCCTTGAGACCCAGAGAAATTGTCAGATAACAAATGTTCCTTATTTTAAGTCATTACATTTTGGAGTAATTTGTTATACAGCAACAGATAACTCATACAGTTACTAATCAGACATACTTTTCAGAATCCTCCTTTTTTTGGAAAAAAATGTCTTTGTTGCCCTATATCCATCCCTCACTCCACTCTTTGGCATTTGTTATTCTTCGAAAAGTCTATTATTTTCCAGGCAGTATGCTGATCTAGGGAATTAAGCTCGGAATTTGATGATTCCCATAAAATTGGCTCTT